CTCCAATAGCCTTCCTTGCACTAAGAGGAACAGCCTGCATCATGGTGTCAAAATAACATGAACTTCAAAAATGAGTACGCATTCGTAAGATACAAATGATAAATGTCGCAGCTATGTGCTTAATGATATTTGCAAACCAAAAGAAAATAAGAAATAAGAAATTATTTACTTCCATATTGTTCAACAATCCTTAATTAACAAGAAACTAAATCATACGCAACAAGCTTTCACAAATTTTCCCTTGCGTGATACTTCAGAATAAGATTTGGGTGAGAGGAAAAAACAGCACGGTAACTAACGTATATATGCCCACACAGTGTGTGATTGTACGAGAGAAATCTTAAATCTTTGCAAAATTAGGGTTTCACATGATTAGTATATTTTTAAGATCTACATTCTTAACAAAAGTGGATAATGGACCATCACCTGAATTATACACTGAGAAAGTTCAACCACACCAATAGCAGGCCTCAGCCATCCCTGCCCCTGAGCATTGCGTGGCGTAACTGCCATCTGCATAGAATAAAGCATAAGTAAAACTAGCACAACATGGCTTCCAAATTTTGTACAAATGTCATGAGAAATGCTAGCACGTCTTTTGATCAATTGATTTCCAGAAATACTAGAAGCGAGATACCAACTTCTGTACCCCCTTCTAAATCTGTTAGTCAAATTTTAAGTAGAGTATTGGAACAAGTCTAAACACAAATATGAGTGAATCAATGCAGGCTTACGGAAAGTCTGCAACTTCTAAGAAGTATAAGCACTTGTTTTAGAGTTTGCTAATAGAATGTAAGATAAGACAGGAAAATGTAGAAATCACCTTCATCAATTCTTCAAGGAGGCGAGGGGCAAGTTCCAGGACACGTCTAAAATCACCTTGCAGAGATGGAGATAAGGATGCTGACTCACGAGTTAACTGTGCTTGAATCAGCAATTCTGTCTGCGTAGAAAGTGGCATAAAGGTAAGCATACATCAAGGACCGGGACAAACTTTGCTAATCATATAGTCTGGTCTTGGAGCACAAAATACCTTTACAAGGGCTGGATGCTGTTTCCAAAACTTTGCCTGCTCTTGCTTGATATTTTTAAGGTCCAGATTCAACTCACTCCTGACTAGCATAAAAAGCTTCTGAAGGGGTTCATCGTCAGTTCTACGAACTGGAATTTCCATATATTCAGCAGCCCTTATGAAGACATCCATTACTTTGCTGTATAATCAAATTATGTCATAAGATCAGTAAAAGGATTAACAAAGAGTACAGCTTAATGTACACCTGATCCATACAAATATCAAGAATATTTATATATGTATGAGAAATTTTTGACTCTTCAGACTTGCAACCAGCTACGGAAAATAATAAACATATAAAAGCTAACTTCGGCAGTTCCGGTACACAGCATACTCTACTTAATTACCTTTGGAATATAAAATATTACATGAATTCAACTGCCAATGAACATATCTTTTAAACCAGTTGAGTACCTGGGAGCCAGAGAAGGCTTCATTAAGTAATAGTAAGCGGACAACGTGTGATGCATGACATAGTTGCCTGTATATTTTGCCGATCTTGAAAGATATACAACAGCTATCACCAATGGCAATAGAATACAAATACCAACTATCCAGAGTAGGAGTATTCCACCAGATGCCCCATCGATGTCCAGCAGGAATTGAGGAAGAGCTATGCCCATTTGAAATCCCTATTTGAATAAAGCATTGGTTTAATTTCAAAACACGATCAGTTCTACTTCATATAATATTGACAAGGGAACACTAAAAGAAAGTTGCTATCTTTTTTCCTTGATTGAAATTGCACACTACCTGCCTGCCATCTGGATGGCCATATTTTTCAAAATTCTCACGAGATACTGGATCCGTCAGAGCCTGATAAGCCTTTGATATGAACTCCACAAAGTAATTGTGGGCCTCTAGAAAAAGGAAAACAAAATAAACAGTTAGCGTATACAGAATATCATAAAGGCCCCATCTTTCCTGCTACAGTTTCAGATAATAAGCAATTCATACACTGAACAACTAAAACAATATCAACCTGGATCTGGATTTTTATCTGGATGGTATAGTATAGAGAGTCTCCTATATGCCTTCTTTATCTCTGAATCAGAAGCTCCAGGTTCCAGTCCAAGAATACTGAATGGCTCAAAAACTTGAATCTGAAATTTTAAAGTTTCTCAGAACAAACATCCGACATTAAAACTATAATATGAAGTCCAAATTGAAAAGCCATGGCAAAGTAAAACAGCAGCTGGAAGACCATATGATAACAGTTTTCATTAATGCCTCAAAATGGTTAAAAAAGGTTTACCTCGCGGCTCATATTTTTGATGTAATAAACCAGGACGATCATGATAACCCAGAGCAGTATTAGTGTCAAGTTACTCCACGTCGATAAGTTTGAAATCTGCATATGCGACCATAATCACATACATTCAGATTCTCGTTAGATGGTTTATATAACAAATATTTTGGTTTTCTTCTTGCAGTGACTAAATGAATAAAAGATCTCAGCAACAACCGAAGGAACTAACCCGCTTTAAAATTGACTTGCGGTACTTTCCTGATCGAAAGCACTCTGAACACTGACAGTGGATGCTCTTTGTTTTCTTGGATGCAGCACGACACAACTTCGTAATTGTATAAGGCACTAGAGGCAGTGCCATTATGGTTAGAATGAAAATTGGGAACAAAGCACTAGTCTCTTCCGAAGCAGCCATGGCGACCTCCCTAGACTAGTCCTATGTCCGTATTATGCCTGCAGAATTGACTTTGGTTAGAACCAATCAGTTCACAAAGACCAGAGCCGCGACCAATGCGGCATCACAAATTCCACAACATCTCCAATGCAATGACATTAGAATTCACGATTATACCGCTAAAAACATCATTTGCAGCAATTTCATTTCCATAACGGAATTTATAAAAATCCGAATCAAACTCAAATTAGGCCATTATATGGCTAAAGGCCAATCAAAATCACCGAAGCTCGGTGATTCAGCCAAATTATGAGATACACACACACACACACACACACACACACACACACACACACACACAACACATATATATATATATATATATATATATATATATATATATATATATATATATATATATAATGGCCTACAATTGCGAAGTCGATCAAATCAATGACTGAGGTAGCGAGCTCAGACTCAGTACAGCCAATTGAATAGTAACACTGATAGCTGATTAACCTAAATACAGGCAAAAATGGAGTGTCAAAGCTTCAAAAAAATCACACAAATCAATTCGAAATACACGAACACGTACAATAAATTAATAAAATTATCAAAATTTCCACAAAATTAAAAACGCATGCACACCTCAATCAAAATTCGACGAACTGAATTTCCAATTAAAACTATCGAAATGAAAAATATGGCAGAAATATGTACAAATATATATATATATATATGCTTGCCTGGGAAATGGAAAATCCGGAGGTCGCGATCTGATTCGGAGGCCCTCTGCCGCACGATGGCGCGATTACAGAGACGGAGAGAGACGGGAAGCGAGCGCGTTTTTCAGATGGGAGAAGAGAGAGAGAGAGAGAGAGAGCGGAGAGCTTCGTTTTGGGTTTTATTTGGTGACGTCCCAGCCCATAATTGTTTAAACGACCTGTCGTTTAGGAAAATTAATCACAGTTTCCGGCGGTGGCTCGTTGGGCAATCAGCCCAAACTTTAAAAGGAAACTAATAAAAAAGGTTTGGAAATTTCAAGTTTTTTTAATAATAAGGATAAAATAAAGGGTAAAGTGAATAGTATCAGGATTTACTTTTTAGTGTAAAAATGTGGTTTTTCGTTAAAGTGAACAGTAACATGTGCTTTTCGTTAAAGTTCCCAACTTTAAAAGATCAGTAACACATCAAAAACGTTTAATCACGAATGGTCTCTTACGTTTTCACAAATTATCATTTTGGTCCTTTATGTTTTAAATCGATATTGTACTTCTCAACTTTTGCCCACGATTAAGGTTTGGATTTTTTTTTGGGGGGGGAGGGAATTTTAAGTATATTGGTTGAGATTTAATGAATTATCAACAATCAAAGTTTTTTGGTTGAAATATGCTTACTATCTTATACTTTAATTTCACTTTCCATTTTTTTTTGGGGGGGTGGGGGGGGGGGGGGGCGGATTTTAAGTATATTGGTTGAGAATTGAGATTTAATGAATTATTAACAATCAAAGTTTATTGGTTGAAATATGCTTACTATCTTATACTTTAATTTCACTTTCCATCCAATGAACAATTCACGTTTGAATTTATATATAATCTGAACCGGATTAAATTAACGAAATTTTATTGATTTTGAATTGACAAATGCTCCTACTCACGACACATGATATCTAACGAGAGTAGAATTTTCACTCTTTGAATTCCATTCCTTCCCCTCCCTTCCCTTCCCACTTTTTATTTTCCCCTCTCTATAAAATAGTCAACACAAAATGTCGAAGTGCCTTAATCGTAACCTTTTAAAAAAACAAAAAGACTACAGGTAAGAAAATTTGACGGAAAAAATACTACACGCTGATGAAAATTAAAATTTCAGCTCTCTCTTGAAAACTTAATGAAAATTAAAATAAAAGAAAACTAATGAAAAAGAGTTTGAAAACATTGAATTTTAATGATAATGACAAAATAAATGGTAAAATGAATAGTACCAAGATTGACTTTTTAGTGTAAAAATATGATTTTCGTTAAAGTTAACAGTACCAGAAATTTTGTTAAAGTTCCTTAAAAATAAGAGAGTTTTAACAAAACACTAACGAAAAACTACATTTATACATTTCCCTGGTACTATTCATTATACCTTTAAAAATAAATTTTCATTAAAAAAGAAGTTTTTTTTAATTTTTCGTTAGTTTTCTCTAAAAATAAACGTTTTTGACGACAAAAATTAAATTCCAAATATTGTAGAAATTAAAAAATAAAAACGACATCCAAAATTAAGCAGGGTATCTCTCTGCGTCTCTCTCACGAGCCTCATCCTCTTCTCTCACACACACAGTTTGATAAATCCATCAATAGTCTGCAAAAGTTTCCAATTCATGGCCTCACCATCCGAACCACCCCACACCAGGCAGCAACTCAGACCCTCCATAACCCACCTGGTCCACTCCACCACATCCAATCTCCTCTCGCTCCTCGCCTCCCCCAAAACGACGCCGTCGCCATCGCTTTCCACGACTCCTCCGGAAATCCGCGTCGCGCTCTTCCTCCCCAACTTGCCAAAACCACTCGCTTTCCAGCCCGACTCCAAACTCTCCGCCATGAAGGGCGTGGCGTCATCGCCCGAGTCGACCTCCGGGTTCCCGTCAACGGTCAGGATTGCAGGGCTGAACTCGAATATCAAGGGCAGCGGTGGGCCGGCGTTTGTGGGCCAGGTCTTCAGTATGTGCGACCTCTCCGGGACTGGTCTGATGGCCGTCTCCACCCACTTCGACATCCCCTTTATTTCCAAAAGGTACCTTTTTCTACTTTTAATAACATCGGTATTTTATTTTTATAAATAAATTTAATTTCTTGCTAGATTTTATCATATATGTAGTTTGGATTTCATTTCGATGTTGAATTTTTGATAAAGATGCTGCCTTTGAATTGAGATTATTAAAATTCAGGAAATTTTTAGTGTGTTTGAGGGTTTTTTTTTGCTGAATTTTGTTTAATTTTCATGGCATTTACTTGTAGAACTCCCGAGTGGCTGAAGAAGATGTTTAAATCAATTACTAACAGTGAGAGAAACGGCCCCGTGTTTCGATTTTTCATGGATTTAGGCGATGCAGGTAGGATTCTACATAAACAACTGGTTGGTTTTAGTGGTTATTTGGTCCAATTTATTTCTATCTGGAGGTGACCGGAATTCTGACTGAGATTTTGTTCTTAGTTACTTATGTGAAACGGCTGAATATTCCGAGCGGCGTGGTGGGTGCTTGTCGTCTCGATTTAGCATATGAACATTTCAAGGTAATCCCAGCTTGTACCATATGTAAGCTAGATTTGAGAGTTGTTAAACGTTTCACATTGGTGCTCATTTGCACTACTGGAATAGCAATCCTAAGAAAGGTTTATGCATCAAGCTGTTGAAGAGACATGCCTGTTCTGGTTATGAAGTAATGGATAGAAAGCGTCCACCCTTGTTGTGTTCTGGATGTGCCACATTATGGATTTATCTATACCGTGTTATGTTTTTGAGAATTTTTTTTTTTATTAGTAATTTCTGTGGTATGCTATGATGATCTTGGATGAATGAGTAAGTCGTTCTCTGTGTTTTATGCAGGAAAAGCCCCACTTATTCCAGTTTGTTCCGAATGAAAAACAGGTATAATAGAACAAGTGACAACCGTCTTCACTAATGTTGTTGTATAGCATTTCTCAAAATTTTATGCTCCTACAGGTCAAGGCAGCTAACAAACTTCTCAAGACAATGCCGCAGAGTGGCAGATGCAAAAGGGTTGATGGAGTTCCAGTTTTTAGTGCTCAAAACTTGGATATTGCAATAGCAAGCTCAGATGGGATCAAATGGTGTGTTCTAATGTTTCGTACTTGCTTCTAATCAAGTTTGTTCTTTTGGTGAATTTTAAGTAGAATAGCTGATGCTCTATTGCTATCTTTTGTTCCAACAGGTATACTCCCTACTTTTTTGATAAAAACATGCTTGATAACATTCTCGAGGAATCTGTAGATCAGCATTTCCATTCTTTAATTCAAACTCGGCACACGCAGCGGCGACATGATGTGATTGATGACAACATACCAGCAGAAGTAATTGAAGAGATGGGCGATAACTTGTGGGAGCCTCCAGAGGTATGGAATCCAATACTGAAGTATTATTTTGATGTAGCAAGTAGTTTGGTGGTGAGACATGTACAAGATTTTAAGATGAAGAATCGAGAATTGGATTCCCATTGTCAATGATAAGCTTAGAATTATTATCATTCGTCTGACATAACTACGTATGTAGATGTATAAGTTGTGAAGTTAAAACAACCCAGTTCACCTTCTTCCGGTTTTCACGTATTTGTATTTTGTTTGTTGGAATGTATGTTTCTTGACAGGTTCAGGAAGTGATGGATGAGATAGGGAATTCTGGAATACCCTTGAGTGTCATTTCTAAAGCCGCTGAAATGCAGCTCCTTTATGCTGTTGATAAAGTACTTCTGGGTAATAGGTGGTTACGGAAAGCAACAGGCATTCAACCCAAATTCCCTTATATGGTTGACTCTTTCGAGAGAAGGTACATTAAAATTTAGCAGTTGCTTTCTTGGATATCAAATACCTTCTGTTTTCTAATTAAATCTTTCTTTGAATTTTAACATTGGTGAACTTGCTTATTCTATCTTTTAGGCTTTTCTAACAAAATTATGTTCATTCCGTTGCAGGAGTGCAGCCTCTTTTCTTAGAGCTTCTCAGTCAGCCAGATGCCTTACGAATGGGGAAGCAGTAAATGATAACGAAGATTCTCTAGATTGTAGCACTTCGAAGATTAAATCAAAGGATGATATTCACACCAATAAAGGAAACAAAACAGATCTACGGTTTCCTTTCAGTGATTGGTTTAGTCATCTGTGGTCGAAACAGAAGGACCAAAATGAAGAGTTGTCAAAGGAACGCATAGAGCAGAGCACACTGCAAAATCCAAACCTTCCTAAGATTACTATGGTTGGCATTTCAACTGGTGCGGCAGGGCCGATGAGTAAAGCAAATTTAAAGAAGACGATGGAGGATTTAACAAAAGAATTGGAGCAGACGGATTCGGGAAATGCTTTTGGTAGCGATACAGGTAATGAGTTGAGATTTGAAGATAGAGATCCACTGTTTGTGGCAAACGTAGGTGATTATTATTCTGGCATGGCAAAGACGGGTTCGGCTAAATGGGTTCGTGGAGGAAACAATTAGGGGGCCTCACCATGGCAACATTTTTGTGTTCTCTTCGGGTATAATGGAGAATATACTTATGATACATCACTGCCTCTTCCCCCCCCCCCCCCCCATCAAACGGAAATACATTGTTCAGAGGCCGCGTATTTCTTCTGACGATGGGATGTCGATATCTCTAAATTTCTTGTGCATTTCGAAGTATCATGTATTTTCACGGTATGCCGTTGTTATCGCACCGTTGTTGTACAAAGGGTAGAAGAGCAGAAATAGAAACTGTAATTTACATCGGTGTTCACGGATGCGAATCGGGTTAACAAGGAGCAGTCAAGGACCGCTCCGCCTCTTTCTTATTCTCTTCTAGCCACTTCTTTATAATATACAACAATAACCAATGTGGTGGTGGTGGAATAACGAATGGTGGTGGTCGTGGTGGTGGGGATGGTTCCCTTGGTGCTTTGGCGTGTGAGTGCCCTCTACAATCTACATCTACCTCCTAGTGTGTGGCACACTTTTCCCACACCATAAAGTGGATTTTAATGACCTCGCCCAATCTTGCTCAAAGCCATCCCATCATGGTTGCCCGCAAATGAGTGATTGTCAATCATTAATGCATGCGTGTCCAGCAATATGTATCCATCAATAGCTTGCAGTGCGTGAACGGCTGATGCTAGCATGATTCAGTACGCAAAAAGTGATGGTAGTACTTCGATACGATAACGAAGTTAAGTTCATGATTCTAACTAAAATAAATTTTTTTGGGTACAAAACAAAAAATTGTATCCTCAAATGATGTCGTCCGAATACGCAAAATAAGGTGTATAAACAGAAAAATATATAAAAGATCGTTTGGCTATGCGAGCTCTCCGTAATAATTATGACCCATCCCTTTAGCCAATTTAGCTCTTAACACGGGATCGTTCAAGTCAGCTTTTTTGTTATTATGATAGGTAAATTATTCTAGATCCATCCCCTGAAAGAACCATACATGATCACTAATATTTCCTCCTGCGCCAAATCCATCTCCCTCTCTCCCTCCCTGTCTCCATTGACAACAGAGCATCGCATCACTCATCTCCCCAATATTTAATCCTCCACAAAGCCATGAAGCTCTATAGTTTCATCCACAATCCCAAAGTCAACCTGCTTGAGAACTTGTATGATCAAATCCAAAGTCAACCTGCTCCCCCCTTCATATATAATGCTATGCATTCATAAGCTTCCTATATGTAAAAGAGTTTGAACTTGAAAAGGTTCAAATGCCCTTTCAACTTCCAACCAAACAAAAAAGACATGAAGAACTATCAATCACAAATTCTTATTTTGCATACGTAAGTTAGGTCAATGTGTTTATTTTGTGGCACTTAAATTTGAGTTATATTTTATAAATAGAGTATTTTAGAGTATGGTACTAGAATGCTAAAGTTTTGTTCCCTCCTAAGCACCTTCTGCACATACCTTTTTATCACCAAACGGTCTTATAGGACTATGTTCATTGTGAAAAACACAAGTTATTCGTCTAAAATAACAAAAAAATAATTGTGCTTTTGCTAATTCAACGTACCATTTTTTAGGACATCTTTTTCCTTCAACTAATTACTTAGACATTGTTTATTAATAAGAATGTCAATTGGTACATCTTTTTGCGACCATAAGCATTGCTTGTTTATTTAATTGTTTCATGTCTATTCGATTCACTGTAGAGGTACTCTTCATGTCTATTCGATTAACGAAAATTAAAGTTAAATTGTGAGGTGACAGCGAATTCGTGAAAAGTACAATTATCTCAAAAGTGATATTTTTTATGAACTCGCAGTCGTTGGGTGTGCGTTATACAGAGATTAAACCCAGCACTCCATATACCCTCCAGTTGTAGGGCATGACAGGGCACTGGTACACACACCTCTCCGAGGTAAATCCTCGAGATCCTCCTGATCCAATAACACGGACCGTTGGATTTTGATTTAACGGCTAAAAACAGGGGCATTTGTAAAATTATAATAATTATAACCGTTTGATCAAAATCTAACAGTCCGTATTAATAGGTCAAGAGGATCCCAGCCTCGGAGAGGATCCAAAATGCTCACACACGACGGTTTCGCACTTCGACTTCCAATCAGATTTCGACTGGGACATATGTACCAACTACCAACTACCAACTGTCCGTGCCTTTGTCACAGTGTCCGGTCCCGTTTGACATTTTCCAAAAGTCAATCAAAAGCCGCGGTTCAAATCCATCAAAACCACTCTCTATTTTTCAATTTTTTGGGTTAATTAATTAGTACTAAATTCCCGTATAAATAATTAAACAATTTACCAAGTCAGTGCGGCATCATCTCCTCTCACTAGCTACAATCTATGTCCATTTCTGTGTCTGTCTTCCTTCCTCCATCATTTCCTCTCACTAGCTACAATCTATGTCCATTTCTGTGTCTGTCTCCCTTCCTCCAAGTCAGCGCCGTCCTTTCCACCTCTCTTTCCTTCTAGCTGCAACAAAAAAACCCCACAAACACCGCAGCCGCCGCCACCCTTCTGAAAATGGCAGACGATTGGGATCTTTACGCTGTGGTAAGGGGTTGCAAATCAACCACCCAAACCACCCGAAACATCACCATAACCGCCGCCTGTATCACACCCACAAACCCCATCCACACACCCCTGGATGAGTTCAAAAACGATCCTTTGTGGGATTTGTTGAATTCCGACGAGTTAACCGATCCGTTGTTCTCTTTTACCAATCTAGACGACCCAAAAGAAGCCAATGGTTTCCAAGAGCTGCAGCAGTCCTTTTTTCGCAACCCCACCACCACCACCAACAACGACCACAATCCCACCACTAACAACACCACCTTTGGACCTAATAATATTATTCCAAATTCCCCCACTATTTCTTACTTTGGAGGATCTAGTGGTAGTGGCCAACATCACCTCCAACATCAACAACAACAACAGCACCATCATGCACAACTCCAACAACAGCTGCAGCACCAGCAACATCTTTCGATGCCTACTCATTTCACCCGGGGAATTCCAGCTCCTAGTTTTCGAGGAATCTATGGCCAACAACAACAACAACAAAAAATTATGCAACCCGGGGATCAAAATCTTCAACCCCGCCAGCTCCAAACTCAGCAGGGATTTAGGAGGCCCAAGTTCATCAATCCCGCTTATCCTCATCCTCGGCTACCAACTCGCCCACAAAGAAGAATGTATATATACTCAAAATTTGCTGTTCATTAATTGAACGATAATTAAGACACAGAAATAATAAATAATGTGCAAAAGAAAAAAAAAATATGTACCGAAAACGCTTTTAATTAGTCTTTGTTCTTGTTTTTGCTTTTTTCACATGGTGTGGATGTGGATTAAACGAATTGACTCACAGGAAAACCCAGCAAAAGAAAAATGTTCATGAAGTGAAAGCGGAGGATCTCATCAGCGCTGATTTATGGGCGTGGCGGAAGTACGGCCAAAAACCTATCAAGGGTTCTCCACACCCAAGGTACGTAATTAGGTTAATTTTCCACTTTCAATTTCTCTTTCCTTTTCTTTGCGATTTTCTCTCTGAATCATGGTTCTTTGCAGGAACTACTACAGATGCAGCAGCTCAAAAGGGTGCCCGGCGAGAAGGCAAGTGGAGCAGAGCACGACAGAACCCAACATCTTCATAGTTACATACACCGGGGACCACACTCACGCTCGCCCGACTCATCGAAACTCCCTTGCCGGGAGCTCCAGGAACAAGCTGTCAGCTGCATCTACGAGTCAAAAGAAGCCAATCAACAACGACTCCGGTTCGACAGCTGTTCCCAACCCCTCGTCTCCCACCACCGGACTACCCATGACAGTCCAAGCTGAGGCTGTGCCTGTAGCCAATAAGGTCAATTCTGACAATTCACTTGACAAAGAAACTGAGGAATCTGATGAGGAGGAGGAGACGGATCATGAGAATGAGAACGAGAACGAGGTCGAGGACGATGACGTTATGATCCCGGACATGGACATGTCGGATGAGATATTCTTGGGGCTGAAGGAACTGGGTGGTACTAGTTCTAATGGCAGTGGGAGTGGAAGTTTCTCTGGTTTCTGCTTCCGGTGATAATTTTTCGGATAATGGGGCATTGACTTTGGAGTCTTCTTGGGCTGCTGCTAATTGCTCCTCCGCTGCCGGAGCAACCGTTGGCAGTGGTTCCTAGTAGCCAACAAGTAGGGAAGATGCATAAGTTTTTTATTTAACCTCATGTTACCGTGTTAGTTCTATTATGAGAGAGAGAGAGAGAGAGAGGTAGGGTTCTTATATTATTAGATTGTATAGAAGAGACATAGAAAATAATCTTTTCCTTCTTCCCCATAGATTTCTGCTGTATTTATCTCTTCTTTTAAATTGAATATGAATGGTCTCTTGTTTTAGCTAATAGTTCTGGTGTTTAACACTTAATGAGAAAAATATCTTACATATAACGATCAACGAATTTACCAACCTTGAATTCATCATATTACAAAAAACTAATTCACGTAGAGAAATATGATAGTAATATGGTTATCAGATATAATGCTTATAATTGATTTATCGATTTTAAAAGCTTAGATATGCACTTCTTTTTAATAATAAAAACTATTTATAACTGACTAACCAACTTCTACCATATTCACGCAAGTTAATCAGAGTAGAAGGATATGATTGTGCAAATCTGGATAGGGTAATTCACATCAACAATTCACATCAATAACTGTCATAAGTTCAACTGTAAATTCACATCAATAATTGATATCAAACTCACTATCTATGAGAGTTGAACTTAAAACATTTTACTTAAAAAATAAAAAAATAAAAAAAAATTGATTATTAAATCATTTGAAAGTTATTTTTGTAATTGTATGCAATCCACATTTGTTTTTGGCATCTTTGTTTTTTTCTCTCCTTTTTAAGTTTATGGTATTTATGACAATATCCAATTAATAAAAAAAAGCATTCCATAAACTGAGTTTCAATACTTTCTCAAGAAGATGTGTAAAATTCGAGTAGATTATGTATCAATGCTGTTTTTAGACCACATTAAAACTTCGATACATAGATGCATAGCAGCCACATATATTAATGAAGTGGTCAATAATGTCTAATTTATAAGGTAATAATTTTATTTGAGAAATTGTTCATGCTTTTAGAAGTTTTTTATATCCTTATATAAATCATGGGATATTAAATATTTGTCATCCCCATGGTTTTAATTTGTCATACCGTGAACCGCTCCGGTTCAGTCTCCTTTGTCACAGGACAAACACTAGATCCTCTATTTGTCTGTTCATACAATGAGGACAAAATTCGGATTAATTAAATAATCTCTTTGGGTAATAAGGATTAGAGTTGGTCAAATATATTTACTTGGGAATTTGT